ATTACCCAGAACATGGAATCACTTTCCAGACTGCTTAGGTGGACAGGCTTGTCCTCAGAGCCACCAGGACAGGGCAGCACCAGGAGCTTCTGTGCTTCTGTGGAGAACCCGGGAGTGGATCTAACGGAGGGGTGACCTGCTGGGAGAAGGCTTCTGTTGGTTTATTATATGCAAGGCAATGTGAGGAAGTCAGAACCGGAGAAGATGGAATCCAGGGCTTAGCTCTTGATTCAAAACTACTGGAAGAAATAATGCAAGTAAATGAAATCTCTTCTTGGTTGTCATCTTTGGCTCACTAATTTATGCTTTCAAGTACTTCCATTTTTGTGTATACATTTAGACAGTGTTGTCTACGAGAATGTAAACTGGGGGAGAAAAGACTTGCTTTTCTGTTAGTCAGCTGTAGTGTAGGCAAAATATTTAGTTACACTGTGGCTTACAAGTGGTGAGAATAGCTAAAAATCTCCAAAGAGGAAGGAAGTAGCCAATTTTTAACCCCAGCTGTCACAACCAGAGATTATCAAAGGGACAGACTTCTAAGAAAAAGTTTTCCAGCCTATACTTTACCTGTAAGTTATTCATTTTCTCCTTATAAACAAGGAATAAATGTTCTCATCATAGGAAAGAAAAAGTACCCACATTTTGGGGTACTTCCCATATTTTTGCATTTCCTTCAATTTGTACAATAGTAATGAAAAGCAAGGATATCTAGCCCTAACCGGTTTGGCTCAGTAGAGCATTGGCCTGTGGACTCAAGGGTCCCAGGTTCGATTCCGGTCAAGGGCATGTACCTTGGTTGCGGGCACATCCCCAGTTGCGGGGTGTGCAGGAGGCAGCTGATCGATGTTTCTCTCTCATCGATGTTTCTAGCTCTCTATCCCTCTCCCTTCCTCTCTGTAAAAAATCAATAAAATATATTTTTAAAAAAGCAAAAGCAAAGCTAAAAGTTGAGAATAGTAGGTGTAAATGACTGACATCTCTGCCATACGTGGATTAGCATGCACATGTCTGGTGTGGACAGGTGCGAGCCAGCACGGGATGTGGACTGGCGTGGGCTGTGGTCTCTGTGGGGCTCAGAAGCACCTCCCAGCTGACCAAGAACCAGGACAGGGACTGATGGAGTTGTGTAATGACAAAGAGTATCAGACAGGACACTTTGAGCAGTTAGTGACAGAAAAGCAACCCCAAAGAGTGATTTATCTGAAGAGCAGAAGACCATCCCCAGGACCCAGAGCCTGGGGTCCTATGGACTGGGGCCAGGAACCCAAACATTGCTAGTGCTCTTTCAAGCTCTCTCTCTCTCTCTCTCTCTCTCTCTCTCTCTCTCTCTCTCACACACACACATGCTAAATATATGTGTCTTTCTGTTTATAAAATAAAAATAATAATAGTACCAACTCCATGGGTTATTAATAGAATGAAATGGCATATGTAAAGCCCTTAGAACAAGCCTGGAATATGAAAGCCTGCTGGTCATAACATATATGTCACTGGAATAAAACCATAAAGACAACCCACTAAAGAAGGACACTGCTCATGCTATCTCTAGGCCCTTTACAGACGTGGAGATCTGTGAAGGTACTTTCCGTTTATCGTCTCTGCTCACGACAAGCCTTCCAGCTTCTCCCTGCAGATACTCACGGGCTCTGAGGCTGCTCCGTGTCTTCCCGGGCCCTCACCCCAAAGGGAGTGTCTTTCTTGTTTTATGATCTAAAAGAATTTAATTCTCAAATAAATAAACTTTTATTATAGGGTCACTATAAGGCCTCGGAAAGAGTTTCACTTAAAAGCTTACAGTGAGCAAAGCAGTATAACCTTTGCTTAACTTGCGAGACCTGGTCAGCCCCGTTTCTGAGCAGCCTCCCTCCACTCTGCAACAATCTGTCTCCTGCCCTCCGCTTCATGTCAATCAATTTGCCATCAGACAGTAACCCATCAGAGCCTTTATGTGTCTAATAGTGCATTTCTAAAGCCTGGGTTTTCTTTCCCTCAGTTTTTTTTTTCCTTTAGATAAATCTTCTCTTTGCTTCATTACACAAAGCTTTCTGTCCCTATCTTGGTCCAACTAAATTCAGCAAATACCATTTGTGGTTCTATTAGATACCAATTACTGTGCTTGGTAGCACTTGTTTTATTTCCTCTTTCTTTTCGTTGCCTTTAATTCTCTCTAAGTCTCCTTGAGAGAGGGAATCACAACTTTTAATACATAACTTTTTAATACTTAAAATTCTCTTAGTTGTTGCAAATATATTTTAAAAAATCTCCCATATATCAGAACCTTGTGTGAGAGCAAATTCCAATGGGGAAGGAGTTGTATATTCTTGACTATATGTGTGTAGTTAGTAAGTTGTATATGGCCCATTCTGTGGTATGGGTTCATTATTCTCAAGTAATCTTTTTTGTTGAATTTATCAAGTCCAGAGTTTTGAAGTAATTCTTCAGATAATTTTTTTGAGAGATACCTGAATCAGATAGACCTGTCAACATTTATGGTCTTTATGTGGTTGCTGAAGGTGGTTAAATCGGTCAAGAACAGACTAATACCTACAGAGTGTTTCTAATTTAGGTGTACCTCCTTCCCCTTTCATGCCTCTTAAAGTGAGAGTAATAATGTCTCATGTGCAGAACGTAACAGGTTAATTAGTTGTCAGTAAACCTCTTTGAATGTGTTGCTATGTAACTAAAGAGAGCCATGTTTTAAGTAATTTATCATATAATTATAATCCATGGAAAGGCAAGGATCCACAGATAGGTACTATGTTTGCAGACATTTACCTAATTTTATTGCCTTGCATTCTTTTCAGAGAGAGAGTATTAGAATTCTGAGTCAATTTCTATAGAATGATATTTATTTATTTATTTATTTATTTATTTATTTAAATATATATTTTATTGATTTTTTACAGAGAGGAAGGGAGAGAGATAGAGAGTCAGAAACATCGATGAGAGAGAAACATCGATCAGCTGCCTCCTGCACATCTCCTACTGGGGATGTGACCGCAACCCAGGTACATGCCCTTGACCGGAATCGAACCTGGGACCTTTCAGTCCGCAGGCCAACGCTCTATCCACTGAGCCAAACCGGTTTTGGCTGATATTTATTTATTAAATGGTCATTTTTTCGGATGACATGTTAGGTCTTCTGCAGAATCAGAAGAGAGATGATTGAGGGAAAAGGTAAGGGGTCCATAACCTGAATCATCTATTCAAAAATCACATTCACTATTCATTCATTAATTCATTAATCATTTCTTTTTTAAAAAATATATTTTCTTGATATTTTACTGAGAGGAAGGGAGAGGAATAGAGAGTTAAAAACATCGATGAGAGAGAACCATCGATCAGCTGCCTCCTGCACACCTCCCACTGGGGATGTGCCCGCAACCAAGGTACATGCCCTTGACTGGAATCAAACCTGGGACCCTCCAGTCCGCAAGCCAACGCTCTATCCACTGAGCCAAACCAGTTAGGGCTCATCAATCATTTCTTGACTCTCTGTTGTGTCAAATACGTACTATGAGCTGAGAACTCAAGGATTAAAAAGATAAAGCTGTGCTCTTAAAAATTTGACTGTCTATTGGGGGAGGCAGGCCTATCAATGAATAATACCATTAGGCGAGTTCTGATACAAAAATGTACAAATCTTGTGAGAGGAGGATGGAATGCATGACTGCTGTGCTTGGTGGGGAGTCAGGAACATCTTTATCCAGGAGTCCTAAGGGATTCGTGGTTCAATGAGAAGATGGGGGCTAGAGAAGGTCATTTGTAGAAAAGAAAACTACAGTGGTTTGAAGAGTGTGGAATGTTCAGAAGGAGCTCAGCGAGACACACAGGTAGGATTGTGAGAGGGGAAACCTGGGATAAAGCTGAACAGGTAAACAACAGAGTGGGAAAAGCCCTATATTTCATGCCACGGATTTCAGACTTTCTCTTGGAAAGAATAATTTAATTATATTAAATGGGGAAATGACCTGATCAGACTCTAACAGGAAATCATGGAAATACTTAGTGAATAAAACACTAAACCTCCAGAAATAATTGAACAATTGCCCTTCAGAGTAGCTTTTTAGGATGTTCATTGAAAAAAGGAACTTTTGTTCAAATAAGTTTGAAGAAAACTACAAACTCAATTTTCTCAGAGAGACACATTATATACCAGAATTTATTAGTGGCTCTGTGAGGACCAGCATAAAGGATAGTTGTTGAACTCAGTATTTCCCAAACCTATATGGCCATAAAATATGGTTGTCAGATGAGATATTGGACATCCAATTTAAAATGAATTTCAGATAAACAGCAAATAATGTTTTAATATAACTAAGGGATATTGCATGGAACATAGTATGTGGGATTAGAATTCTGAGGAACACTTGCACAACACGTTACACCTCAGAGATATTTTATGATGTATCTCTGATGAGACAAGAAATGCACTCCAGCCCTAACCGGTTTGGCTCAGTGGATAGAGCGTTGGCCTGCGGACTGAAGGGTCCCAGGTTCGATTCCGGTCAAGGGCATGTACCTTGGTTGCGGGCACATCCCCAGTAGGGAGTGTGCAGAAGGCAGCTGATCCGTGTTTCTCTCTCATCGATGTTTTTAACTCTCTATCCTTCTCCCTTCCTCTCTGTAAAAAATCATTAAAAAATATTTTTTTTTTAAAAAGAAAGAGAAATGCACTTCACTCCCAGGACTCCATACATTTTTAAGAGATCTGTTTGATGGAGTTTAAGCCTCTTTATATTAATTGTGGTAGGTTCTAAATATTTGTTATCATTTTTTTGTAATGAGACTTTAAAATCTACTCTATTAGCAACTTTTAAATATATGATACAGTATTATTAACTATAGTCACTGTGCTCTACATTACATCTTCGTGCCTTATTATTTTAAAACTGGAAATTTGTACCTTTTGACCACCTTTACCAATTTCACCTCCACCCCAAGCTGTGCCTCTGGCAATCACCAATCTGTTCTCTGTATCTATGAGTTGTTTTTTTATGACTTAAACTTTTTTGCTGGTTAGAATTTAAAAGATGTCAACATTTCCAGCTGCTAAGAATGTACTAGACAAAATCAAGAAACCATAATTTTGATATCTATGAAAAAGTAGATTGAAATGAGCTGCTTAGAAAATGTAGAAATTTCATTGTTGAAACCCTTTGAAACCTTTCTGTTTTCTTTTTCTTCCTGTTTCTATGTCACATTCACTGGTATTCGAAGAGGAAGAGACTGAAGAATTGTGGAAGGAATTTCTATTCATGCAGCCATCATATAACCTTAAGTCCTTTGGGGAAAGTAATTCTTGGCAAACATTCCAGGACCATGTATAAGTAGAAAAGGTTTCATAAAAGGACTCATTTTTAGTGTCTATTCCAACCAAATCCCCTCGGATCTTATGCCAGAAATTTAGCATTTCTTTCCGGTGCTCAAGAGCAATTCCTAAGTTATAGGTTTCTATAGCTCTCTTCACATGTGGTTTAAGAGCAGCTGCCTCAGTCACTGTCCATTTCTGCTTTTTCTTCAACATTTGGTCAATGGTGAGGATCTCAGTTGGGTAGCCGGAGGGAGAGTCGACAGGCTTTATATTTGCTGCCTGTGTTTTCCAATCTCTTTTATGGAAAAAGTAGTTATCAAAGAAACTCAGAGGCTCCTTTCTCCTAAGCATTTCTAATTTATGCATGTCTTTGAATGGCTTTCCCATTACCAGCCCATCCACATTAGGAAACAATGGAAAGATGGGTATTTTTGAATATGGGTTGTCTGAAGGAGGATTGCATCTCCTGAGCTCCTCAAGATATCTGAATAAATCTTTTTCTTTCATTATTGCAATCCAAGTAGCATTAGCAAAGGCAGTTGGGCTTGAGGTCAGAGGTGTGCACATGTCTGGCTTAAATCTCCTTTTTCCATAATCTGTAGGGGAGGGATTCCACAATATTCCTGCAGTGGTTTCTTGGAATTTCCTTTGGAAATAGCTTACTAATTCTATTATAGCCTTTCTGGGTAAGGCTGAAATCTCTACAAGCTTTGATAGAATTTCAAACAACAGGATCCCTGGGTTGCCAGCAAAATCTAAACACTTGTCTTTTTCTGGAACCACAGGTCTAAGGAAGCTGTCCTTATCTGTTAGCACCTTTATAAAGTCTGAGAAATTCACTTTCCCATCTCGGTCAATATCAGCATATTTTAATTCATTATAGACATCATGCTTGGTTAGATGCATTCCCACCTTAGCTAAAGTGCACATCATTCCATGAAAATCAATACAGTCGGTTTTATCCTTGGTAAAGAAGTTGTAGGCATCTTGGAAGGCTTGAATTTGTGAAGCACTCAACTTCCTTTCTTTGTGCCCTAATTGGCATGGGAGAGATCCTGGTAAATCTTTATCCCTCTTGCCATGGGAGCTGGGTACTTTTGTTAGAGGATCCAGCTTAAATTTTTTGCTTAATGTCAGAAACTGCCATGTGGCCAGTAACTCTGTCTCCAGTCCCACAGCACCTCGCTCCGCTGCCTTCACGCGCTTCCGCTCTGTCGAGTTTTGTTTTTCTTTAGGTTGTTGGATTTTTTAAGATTATATGTATACTAGAGACCCAATGCACAAAATTTGTGTGTGTGTGTTGGGGGGTCCCTCAGCCCGGCCTGCACCCTCTCACAATCCGGGACCCCTCGCTCCTAAACACCCACCTGCTGGCTCCTTACTGCTTGGCTTGCTGCTCCTTAGCACTGCTCCTTAGCACCACCACTGCACTCGCCAGCTGTGAGTCTGACTTCTGGCTGAGCGATGCTCCAGCTGTGGGAGCACACTGACCACCAGGGGGTAGCTCCCACGTTGAGTGTCTGTCCCCTGGTGGTCAGTGCGCATCATAGCGACCGATTGACCAGTCATTCGGTCACTTAGGCTTCTATATATATAGATTTCCAGTACACGGGATGACGCTCCAACCAACTGAGCCACACAGGCTAGGGCTCTATATATAGATTTCACTTAGCATAATGCCCTCAAGGTCTATCCACGTTATTGCAAATGACAATATTTCCCTCTTTTTGTGGCTAAATTAGATTTTATTGTATATCTGTAGTATAGCATATAATGTTTAAAGTATCTTTTGCATTTTCTTCATTTCTCAGTAACTATGCTAGTGTAAATGAAAGTTGTCCTTGTCATTGATAAAAAAGTAGGTATTCCCCTCCCAGTGATAGAGCTTAATTAATTAATTAATTAATTATCCAACACACATCTGTTGAGAGCCTACCACGTGCCAGGAAATGAGGATGCAGAAATGTACACGGAAGAGACTCCTCTGCCCTGTGTATGTTTATAGGACGATGGGCAGCCCAAGCCCCACTGTGCTCCTTTGAATGGAGCTGAGCACTCTAGCTTCTCCACCATCTGGCTCCAGACAATTTGTGTAGCCCCATCTCCCACCATCCCACAACTGCCCCTTTCCCTAGCCTATGTGCAGGCCCAGGGCATGCCAAGATTTTGTACTTCCTTGCTCTTTCACAGACTATGGCCACTCCCTAGAATGCCCCTGCTCTCTCCTCCCTTCTTCATCTTCTTCACATCATTCTTGGCCTTTAAGATTCTTGGAAGCATTTTCTGACACCACCTCCCCCTGTCTGATTGGAAGCCATTTTATTTTTGTACTCCGAATATTCCTCCATATTCAAGTATAACTCTATCATAACACTTACCAAATAAACTTGCTGTAATTGCTGGTTTATTTAAGTCTTCTCCCCCATATTAGCCTATTAGCTACTTGAGACATTTCATGTCATTTTATTCTTACCACATAACACCACCCCAGCTAGATATTTTGTGTTTGTTGAATGATAAAATACCTTTCTGTCTTATAGCAATGGAATCTCATCCATTCTCTTCTGCTGTCATCACTATACTAAATTATTCTGAAATGAATTGTCAGTAAGATGTCATTAATTATTTTCCATCTATAGTACACCAAGTTGAAAGACAAAAGAAAAACTTTAAACACCCTCTGAAAATAATTAGAAGTAGTGCTCCTTAACTGGTTGCTGAAAACTATAACCAAGGCCATGCCTGAGGTAGTTAGGAGGACGCTGCTTGACCCACAAATGCTCTTTGTCAAAGAGACCACTTTATAAATAATCACGATGGTTCTACAAATGGCAACTGTGGCCCCAACCAAGGAAAAATATTTACATCTTCTCAGAGTGGTAACATGGCTGGGCTTGCCTTGGTGGGTATAGTCACAGCCCACACTCAAGTAAGAATTCTTTTGCATAGTATCAACTACAAATGCCAAATGCCAGAAGGAAAGTTAGAATTATCCTGTTAGAAGATAATGGAGTAATAGTTTGTTTAATTATGACTTTATTGAAATAAGAGTTAAGAATGAACATGTAAGCATACCTTTTCTATGTCTTTTTTTTCCTATTCCATTTCTATAGTACCCTTCTCTCCTGATCCCATTTTACTACCTAACCAAAATGGGTGAATTGACACAGTGGGGCCCTAGTTGGAAGGCTGAAGCCCTTAGAATGGAAAGAATGGCTTCCATGGCAGGGAGCTTATGCTGTGTTCCTTGCAGATCCAAACAGAAATGTGTTTCCCCCACCTCTCTTAGTCACATCCCTAATTTTGAGTACAGTGGGGCCTTGACTTACGTGTGTCCTGACTAACGAGTTTTTTGAGATACCAGCTGTCTCTCCGCCGATTTTTTGCATTGAGTTGATAGAGTAATTTGAGTTAACGAGCTCCTTAACGAGCTCGGTCTCGGAACGAATTAAACTCGTAAGTCAAGGCCCCACTGTAGTTGTTTTAAAATCTCAGCCACTAAGACTAAAATGCAACCCGGCCATCCAAACAACTTGCATATGCCCTGGGAGGCTTGACCTGGAGACCTAGGTGATAATGGGGTTTCTCACTGGTCATAATTTGGGATTGTCGGGCTGGGAAGGTGAGTGAGGGCTGGAGAAGAGCATCAGTGGCACACACTGTAGTGTTGAAAAATGCCCGTAGAGTTTCTGCACTAAGCTTTCGAAGTTCAGTTCAGTTTAGGGAGCATTTATAGGGCATTCCTGGTGTGGCAAAACCAGGTGCTAGAGATATAATAGTTTGCAAGGTAGATACAGTCCCTGACCTCCTAGTGCTTGTGAGGAAGTAAATACAGGAGATACAGACACGTGATAAGGGACTTATGAGATGCTTAAAGACCATCCTAGAAAAGAGGATATAATAGCCTGCTATCAGAGAAAACAAGTGGAACTGGCCAACCCTTTTGTATAGAAGGGTAGATCGCTGCCTGACTTATCTTGCTCTGGTGAAAGGTCAATGTCAAGGATCTAGGAAGAGCAATGTCAAGGATCCAGAAAGAGCAACGCAAGGATCCAGGAAGAGCAACGTCAAGGATCTACATTGGACAACAGAAAATCTATAGCTCAGATGAACTTTCTTTTCTCAGCTTCACTAGGCACGAAGAATGAGAGAGCAAACAGAGCCCGTGGTGGTGGGACCAGTGATGGCAGGGGTCAGGGTGAGCAAAGGCAGGGAGTGTCAGTGGTGCTAGTGTGACAGCCAGACTGTGTTCCAGCAGTTAGGACAATTAGAAAAATTGGAAAGTCAAGGCAATTAGCAGCCAAGAGAGGCTGCAGAGAGAGTGGGAGCAACATGGCACTTTAGGACAAGGTAGAGCAACCTGAACAATGGCTAGGGTTTGTGAAAGGATTTACCTGTGGCACCTGCACTCCATTGGAATGGAAGAAATGAAGGAAGATGTGTTCCCCTTTTCTGAAGACTTTGGGTGGGGCTGTGGCTGTTTGTCACTGGAAAAGAACTATCCTTAGAGGGTTGGGTCTCATCTGGTAAGAGTGGACTTACTCTCTTCAAGATGTTCTTTTACCACTAAGAGTGCCCAAACAAATAAGGCGATGGGATTTAATGTCTATTTTAAAACATTCATTGAAGCAAAAAGCCCAAGTAATATGGCGGTGAAGTTAAGAAAAGTAAAATATATCCTACCCACTTTTGGAGAAGACTTTCAAAACATCTGTATTCGTAGTAAACTGGCATTTTACAACAGTGTTGTTCCCCAAGATTGCTGTTAGGATCAAGCACAAACAAGATCCTGTGATAATAAGATTCCCTGGCAACGAGGCACCTTAAACAGTGTTAGAGTTACTATAAAACAGAATTCTGTAGTGTGCCAGGATGCATTTAATCTGACTTGGGTGTCTATTTGTATTTTTATAACGTAAAGCAGCAAGGCCAGTGAGTATGGGAGCCCAAGATAGTTACGATAGTGCTAGCCAGTGCAAATTTTGGGATTTACTAAACATTTTTTTTTTTTTAGAATTAAAGATGCTTAAATATTTTGATAGTGCTCTCTCTAAAATAAATAGACATACAGAAAATTCATTCATTTGATAAATGCTCAGACCCCACAATGTCCTTTCATGAAGACACTTAGATAAAAGTGTCTGGAAATGTAAATAAAATGAGCAGCTGTCACTAGAGTTACTTCTAGAAATCATAATCCAGCCTGACACCTTTATTTTCCTTTACACTAAAAATTATAGACACTCTTCTGGTATTGTTATGAATTATTGGCATTAGGTTGAAATTTTCTCTAGAATATAGCGCATAACAACCTCTTTAACGACTGAAAAATTGTTATGTGTCAAAGAAAGAACCCTTGATTACTGACCAAATTCAGGTCACTTGTCATCATAAAAGCAATAAATAACTAATCTTGGATTGAAATACATGGTCTATTCAGCCCACTTCCAACATTTGCAGGGCCAGACAAGAGTACAAATGGAGGCCCACATGTCATAGGTCTAAAATTTATAAACCAAGCTATCAACCTGCTAAACAAAATATGTTCTCCTTCTATATTGATGAAAGTACGTTCACGATGGGAAGTTCATCCAAGGCCAAATTTAAAATTCTTGGACCACTTGGAGTTGTACTCTTGCAATCCCCCAGGCCACCCCTCTTCTCTTCTCACTACAAGCTTCATCCTGGAGTGTGGGGCCTTGTGCCACATGGCACATGTGAACACCCTACCCTTGCAAATACAAGCTCTATTCCCCTTCCACCATCTCCCCCAGCAGCTGTTCATGGCCACCCACAGGCTAGGAGTGGGTATTCTGTCTGTTCTATCTGCCTTTGGGCCAGACCCAGAGAAGAAGCCAGTACAGGCCCCGGAAGAGGGCTCAGGGGCATTTGGGAAGGAAATTATAGGGTCTTGGGTACCTGGAGTGTGATCTAGAAGAGAGGTCATGATCTCCAGGTTGGTGTACCCCTTTGGCCATGAAGGGAGGATATGGCTGGAGAAGAGCAAGAGTGAGCTCTCTAACATATGGGTCCAGGGCAGGAGCCTTCTTGCCCACATCATAGGATGGGTACTAGGTAACTTCCTTGCACTTGAATAAGGGCTGAAACCACACCACTGCTATTTAACAGTGTTCTCCTCTCTCAGAGTGACTTGCTTACTTC